CCAAGAAACGATGACTCTTATTTTCACAAAGCCACCCCAGAGCTAGGAAAGAAGAACCGGTAGTATATTTTTATTAATTTTATTTCATTTTGTTTTTAATAGACTAAGAGCAAGTATATGAAAATCGCCAGCCAAAGCTCTCAAGGGAAGGAGAAGGGAGGGAGAAGAGAGAAAAAAAAAAACACAAGAAAATACAGACCCCCCCCCCCTCACCCCTAAAATTTCTTTCACTCTTTTTTTTTAATATCATCAACGTGGGTTTTTTAAATCTTCGTCTTTTTTTGGCCCCAAAATCCCATCCCAGGAAGGAAAAAAAAAAAGTGTCCGTGCGTCTTTTTTTTTTTGCATAGGTCTGGTCTTCACAGAAGACAAAGGGAGGGGAAAAGACCCCAAAACGACAGGAAAAAAAGAAAACACCCCTCTGGCTTAAAGAGGCAGGCCGGTGCCCGCCCCGCGCCCACCCACGACGAGAACAGTTTTATATAATCTATAGACACGGATTAATAGAGCCTCTCTCTGTACAGAACACACTTGAGATATGTACAGGTTACTCCAAAAGTTACGGACGGAGGGGAACCTATCCTGACTCCAGTTCCCCCAGTTTGGGGATCACTGGGGAGGCGGTATTCCCCCTCGCTTCCCAATTTCTGGCATCCGAAAAGTCCTGGTTCATGGGAAGTCGGGTATGGATCTCTACCACAAAACCACGTTTTTTTCCCCCCTCCCCAGACTACAAGAAAACACACCGTCTCGGCTCAAGCCGGATAAAAGTTCTTGCGGACAATCCGTTCCTCTGGATAGTCACGGCAGGACATCAGAAGAGGCAGGGAAGGGGGACCTGCGGTCCGACAACAGATCGCCAAGTATGCGGGCTTTTGAGGTCAGGACGACAAGAAAGCCGACGCTCGCCCGTGATAACGCAGCCCATATCGGCCCAAGTCTGTGCGTATCCGGGCAGGGTGTTGGCCGCTAGGGACCTCCAACCCTCTAGCTGCCCAGGAAAGGCCAAAGAAGAGGAGAAGAGAAACACGGACGAAAAACAGCGAGGTTCTCCTTAGGGGTCAGGATCGGGGTTGAAACAGCTGGGAAAAAATGCCACCTCCTGCATCTCGAGGCCGTTTCTGCTCGGTGCCAGGTGGCCCCTCCAGCCGCCCGTAAATTTCACGTTTTCGTCCTGCGCCTGCAAACCGAGGCTGTCTCGGAAGGGGACCCCCGGACCCAGGCAAGTGTGGGTAGGCGGTGCAGGTCGGCCCCCCCTCCCGCGGCGACCGACGCGGCTAGGAGGCCAAGAGCATAGGATCGGGGTTGAAACAGCTGGGAAAAAATGCCACCTCCTGCATCTCGAGGCCGTTTCTGCTCGGTGCCAGGTGGCTCCTCCAGCCGCCCGTAAATATAACGTTTTCGTCCTGCGCCTGCAAACCGAGGCTGTCTTGGAAGGGGACTCCCGGACCCAGGCAAGCGTGGGTAGGCGGTGCAGGTCGGCCCCCCCGTCCCGCGACGACCGACGCGGCTAGGAGGCCAAGAGCATCATGAGGAAAAGGGCGGCCGCCACCGCCAGGGGCAAATGTTCTCGTTTCGGGCTGGTCCCGCTGATGCTTTTTTCCAACTTCGGCATCTCCGGGTTAAAATTTTCTGCAAGAGGATTAAAAAAATAAAATAAAACGAGAGAGGAGAGACGGGGAGGAGGGAAATCAGGCTTCAGCGAGGTGGCGGGAACCCTCTTCCCCCGCCTCCTGCTCAAAACGCCATCCCTTCCGGGCGGTGCCTCCAAGATGGCCGAACCGCAAAGGATTCTGGGAGGAACCCAAGGCTACCATAGCTAAACTGGTCTCTACTTGGGCAGAATTCCCCGGAAGCTCTCTGCTTCTTCCATCTGGGGACCAGGGGGAATCTTACTACCGAGGGAAGGGGGGCTTAAACTTTGGGCCATGTTCCCCCCCCCTCACGAGGCTGCCCCCCATCCCAGCAGAGAGCCCTGTGGGTCTCACTCACCCAGGTCCTCGATCTTCACCTCTGGCCCTATAGTGAACTGCGGAAGGGTCGGTACTGCTTTCTCCCCAGAGTGTGACGCTGTGGGCAGGAGAGGGGGGGGAGAGGGTTATGCCCGGGGAAGAGGGCAGGGGTCTCATGCTCCAACCCAATGATCATCTCCCCGCCCGCCCCATCCTGCCCCTTTGGCTTCCTGGTCTAGAGAGAGTTGGGGAAGCTGTCAAACGAATGCCCCCAACCTCTAGAAAAAAAGTAAGAGGTCATTTTGGCTTTGCTTTTTCATATGTTTTTTTATGTTCATTGTTCACCCTTTTGGACCATCGCAGTCCCCTGCAATGAGAGGGGCAGGAAGGACAACGCAGCTTCCGGGCTGGGGTGCAAGCTATGGGCAGCCCAAGCAAAACTAGGCCTGCTCATACATGGATTATGTGGGGTGTGGGGTGTGAGTGCACACATTCAAACCAGCAGCTGGACATGGGAGGGTGAATCAGAAAATATAGTGCGGAGTGAAAGCCAGGACGCTGTTGGTGTGGCTACAAAGCAGACCTGTAAGGATAGGAGCAGCTTTGCCACATCCTAACCAATCTCTTATTTTTCAGTGGTTTTTTTGGCTGAAACTAATTAACACGGCCACATCTTTGAAAACTTTTAACCAGTTTCTTTCCAAGCCCGTTTTAAGCCACCAGCTGTGATTTTCACAAATCTCTGTTCAGGTTGCAATGGTATTGGGGGTTATCGGCCATTGCGGTGCCTAAAGAGAACCTCCATGTACAGATAGAATCTATATTAAAAAAACACACTCAAGGTGAATGGTACGAACAATGCAGGAAAGTTATTCCTTGCAGTTACACCCAAATGAGAAGTTAGAAATTCTGAGGAACCATATAAGCCAGATAGGAAACTTTCAACTGTACTCAACAGAGGTCTTTCATAAATTTTATGTAGTCACTGTTACATACAGCACTGATGTTACCTGTCTGTCATGGGTTTGGAGGGAAAGTTCCATCCTATGGGGAGTGGAAGGCGGGACATCAGGAGGAGGGGCTGTACTGTATAAATATGTGGAGTGTGTGTGAAGAGTTTAGGAGATGCTGAGAGATGCTGAGAGACACTGGGTTGTGACGAAGCAGCAGCTGGGAAGAAGAAGCTGTTGTGGGAGTCTGTGTGTCAGACAGGGTACTTCTGTGTGTCAGAGTACCAACCTGATAGGTTCAGGTGTCTGTTGGTTAGCCAGAACTGATAGGTTCAGGGTCTGTGCTTTAAGTTAAGGGTTCTGGGTGAACCAAACTGTATGCTTGTATGAGTGAGAATAAGCCACGTTACTTTATCCTATTCACCTGATTGTTTATTTTTCCCTGTGTGCAAACTTTCAACTGTATTCAAGAGACGTCTTTCATAAATTTTATGTAGTCTCATCCTGCATAATGTGATCCTGAATAGCGCTGATGCATTATAGCGCATGTGCTCTTGTAGACATTTGGTGCTGCCCCATGGAGACTCGGTCTATCTCGGAGCTGACTGGGACGAACTTGAACTCCAGTCTACTGGCTCTGTGCTACAGAACTGTGGACCAGTCTACCTTCAGCAGGTAGGTGGCCCTTTGGATCCAGTTCTCCTGGGCCCCAAATCTACCTGCTCCATGGGGGACGCAGATCGAGCCTCTAGAACTCCTGGCCAAAAATAGAATTTAATTCTTTTCTTGTCTTGGTGTTTAAGTAACATTGGATTATATCCAGTTTCATAAAAATAAAAGTTGCTGCAGCAAACCTTTTTCAACTGGGCAGAAGAAAAACATTCAAAACCCCCTTTTGCCCTTGAGGACTAGTAGCTTGCTTTGGACAAAGGAAAACTCAAGGAATGAGAAAGAAGGTTCTCGGTGGAAAGGAAAAAAGGGTTGATCTGGCCAGCTCATTGCTTGGAACCTCGGTCAGCTTTCGGCTTCCACAGAGCCCTTCCGCCCGGTCAAAACAGGGAACACGCATGCCACTCCTATGCCAGGGAGGGACGGCCTGGCGGCGGCCTGGCACCTCGCAAGCGTGTGTGAAGACGGGGTGCGGCTAGAGAGATTTACTTACGGGAAGCGCAGCAGACGAAGACTTTCATGCGAAGGCAGGCCCGGCGGTGGTTGTGCGTCGGAGTGGCTGAAATGAGACAAGAACAGAAGGAGAGGCTGAGGGTCATCGGGAGAGGCCACTCCCCTTCTTTGTGCGCAGAAAGTTCCTTAGTTCGGTTCTCACCGTTTCTGATTTTAAGGATCCAGGAACACGTGGGGGCCCAGGAGATTTGTCCCAGCTCGGGGACATTCATCTGGGGACAATGGGCATCATAGTCCAACAACAAAGCAGGCTGCGCCCTCCTAGGTTGAGGGAATGCTAACTCACCTAGATACACCACGAGGTATATATCTCATTGTGGGTCCAGAACACAGGGGTTTGACTGACCCACGAGGGGGGGAAAAAGACCACTGATCCATTTAGTTTAAGGAATGGGTAGGACTACAACTCCCATTATCCATCACCACAGGTTGCAGAAGCTGATGGTTTTTGCAGTCCAGAATCTGGAAGTTCCTGCCCTCCCAGGTTGGCATGGACTGGCAGAGCCCCTCCCCCAGGATTTCGGGAGAATGTCCTTTTACAACCATGCCAGGATTCGAACATGACACCTTCTGCACACTGCTGCAGTTCCTGCCCTCCCAGGTTGGCACGGACTGGCAGAGCTCCCTCCCCCCCCCAGGATTTCGGGAGAATGTCCTTTTACAACCATGCCAGGATTCGAACATGACACCTTCTGCACACTACGCTGTAGCTCAGCCACACAGCTGCGGCCTAGCAGACTCCAAACTATACACAAAGCCCAGCTCTAAATTTTTTGGGGGGGGGACAGACCCTACCCCTCCCGGCCTGAACGGCTTCCCATTTTCCCCCGTGCTGCTACCGCCACTTCCCAGAGCTTGAAATATTATTTTCAAAGCAATATACGAACCTTATGATTTTCAAGTGACAAGTCATCTGCTACTGAGGCCCAGTCCACCACCCTTGTGCATTTAAACCAGGATGCTGGAAGATCGGAGGGTGTGGATCTAACTAGCTTTACACTAGAGCAGGCCTCTGGACCTCTATGGAAACTTTGCACTTAGTAATTTTATTTTCTAAAAGGAAAATGCTATGTACTACAGCCACTCTTACGGTAATCCCCTGCTTCATAGGATAGGTTTCATGTAAATGGAAGATTGACCAAGCAATAAGTAGGGTTTTGGGGGCCAAATCTACCCTGAAGTGTGGTCAGGGGGTAGATCAGCCCCCTACCCAATGGTCACGGTGTGGAACAGGTACCATCTAATGTGTAACACCACACCAGGGAAAATCCCAGAAGCGCTGAAGCGTGGTCAAGGGGTAGATCAGCCCCCTACCCAATGGTCACGGTGTGGAACAGGAGTCCCCCAGCACTGGTACCATCTAACGTGTAACACCACGCCAGGGAAAATCCCAGAAGCGGATTTTCATCCGTTTGCCACTTCTCACCAAAGCCAACGGGCAGGGCTGTTTTTCAACCAGCACGAATGGCTGAGTGCTCAAGAGGGGATGGTATAGACCATCTTGACTTCTACCATCGGTGTCGTCAACATCCAGGCTGCCCTTTGCAATGTCAAAGCTTAGCTTTCCTTCTCCGGCGGGCCACGGGGGCACAGCACGGTGCGGCAAGATCGAGCCATTCCCCAGGCTTTTTGAATTGTGGGCCCGGAAGCATAAGATCCCACATTTGTAAACTGGAGGTATTATTTTGAAGATCTGGATCTATACGGAGCGAGCAGCTCCCATCCCGCTAGCTCAAAACGGCTAGAGAGTGCTCAACGCTGGCGTTAACCCCAAAGACGGTCTCGAGGTTTGCAGTTCAAAATCGAAGCGGTCTTGTTTAGAAGGCAAAGTGTCGATTTCGATGGCTAAGGATTTCTGCTAAGGTTTTAGCCCCCAGACCTATTGACTGATCGCTCGGGGCTCGCCCCCTCCATCCCACCAGATCCATTCCTTTCACCAGCGCCTTTCCTGACCTGCCTTCAGGAATATGAACAAATTGATCAACCCAGCTCTTTTGCATTGCCTTCCGGATGCTCAGGCCCGCCCGAGCGTAATCTTGAGTCAAACATTTAATCTCGCTGTCGGATCTGGTTGTAATCATTACGGGAGCGACTCAGACGTGTCCGCCAACATCCGAGAGCCGCAAATTAGCAGGGGTGTTGTTGTTGTTTTTAAATTGGGAAGGGAGATAGCAAGGTGGAAACAGAATGCTAGTAATTCGGGGTCGCTGGCATTTAAAAACAGGCTTGGGGGGGGTCCCTAGAGTCAGCGTGGTTACAAAGCGCTGCATTAGGACTGGGCAGATCTGGATTCAAGTCCCTATTCAATTCCGAAGCATCTCCTAGGTGACTTTTTAAACCTACCCCGCAGGGCTGTTGTGAAAAAGAAAAGCGTCCCCTATCATCTCAGGAGAGGTGGAGTGGATTTTCCTTTGCTTTGTTGCAGAATAAGGCAGCCTGTTTGAAGTAGAGGTAGACCTCGCCTCCCGAACAGTGGGACTCATCTATGCAAAGCGTGGTAGACCAGGATTCCGGTTCAGAATCCTGGGCACATTGGTGAGGATCAGGGCCCCCCGCTCCCCCGAAACACCCACCCCAAAGCCCCAGCCCTTCCGCCACCCTGCCGCCCGACTCACAGATGTAGTAATATTCGTGTCCGGCATGGAACTCGTAGCCCAGCGAGAAGGCGCTGTAGCGCTGGAACTTCTCGGAGAACTTGATGGGGCTGTGGGGGGCGTGGGGGCGGTTGCACTCCCAGCGCTTGAAGCCCTGGCTGATGTTGCAGGTCCGGTAGCCGTCGTAGTTGACCATGTAGAGAATGTACTGCTCCACGCGGCCTTCAGGCACCGAGGCGTTGTAATGCGGGCAGTAGATGTCCAGGTAGTCATTGACGCTCACTTGAACCGTGTAGCCCTCTCGCCGTAAACTAGGAAGGGGGGGGAAGAAAAGACAAGAGGGCAAATCAAGACCGAGAACGTCGGAGAATTTGTCCCTAACCAAACAGATGCCGATATGGGCAGTTTCTCCAACGCTGCTGGTGAACTCCTGGTTGGGCTTCTGGGACAGACGACCAGAGAGCATGTGCAGAGTGCTCCCCACCTCCCATTGGCAGGGAAGGTCCACAGCCTTTCTCTCTAGTCGAGACCGGGGGAAAGCTGCATCTTTAACAACCAAGATTTCCCCGGCCGCACGACGAGGGTTGTAAATAATCCAGAAGAACCACTGTCAATATCATCATCGTAGAACGGAAGGGATCTGATAGATCAGTGGTTCTTAACGTGGGCGATAAGAAGGGATCCGACAGATCATCAAGGCCAGCCCCTGTTCGGGAAGCACCCGCCAAAAACAGAACCTCCCCAAACCACAAAGCAAAAGTAACTTCCCTAAGCTATCCACAGTTGACGTGCTGAGTCTTGCACCAATGGGTACGTTTTTCAGGTTTCATACCCTGGTCCAGCACTCTCCAGATGTCTGGTACTACAACACCCATTTCTTAGTGCCCATCAGACACAGTCAGAGTAGCTGCACATGGTTTGGCTTCTGCTTTTGAGAGCTTCAGACACGAGGTGGGAGGAGAAATATTGGAACGCACGGAACCGTCAACTGAAATCCGTGTTCCCTAAGAACATGGGAACGGTCTATATAAACCACCCTAGCCTTAAGCTAGACTTCACTTCCACAATGCTCCCCCCAGCACCTTTTTAATGTCTAAGGTGCAAAATGAATACGTACCCCAGCCACACCAGGTTACTACAGTACTACATCAAGCTGTAATTCCCAGAAATGGCCACGGGAGGCCGCAGGATACGAGCCGTCAAAATGGCCTCTCCCCAACCCTCTCCATCTTTTCCCCCAGCATCTTAGAAAACACATTTATTTTCATGGGATGTATTCAGAAGAGCAGAAAGTGGATGGTACTCCCACAAACCTAACGGATCTACCTTCCGTTGTTACCGACATGCCTGAAATCGGGGCTGAACGGAGGCCCCACGCCCCTGCGAGAACAAGGAATCGGCAGATAATACTAGAGATTTTATGGCAAACACTCTTTTTATTTGCAAAACCCATCATGTTTCTAGTCCTTAAAAGACTCTGCAAAGGTGGCGGAGAACCATCTAGCGAACCCTCAAAAGCTGGACTGTCGGGAATTGTAGGTGACTTCGCATCTAACGCAAGCTGGCGAGTCCACTGTTAATATTATGCAAAGCAGAAGTTACATAAAAGATGGCTCTTTTTTTGATTGATTTAGTCAATTTTGAAATCTATGCCCCTTTAAAAGGGTTTTTAGCTGTTATGTGCCATGAAGTCGCCTCCGACTCATGGCGAGGCTATGAAGGAGTGTGTTGGATTTTATGGTTCAAATCTCCACTGCGCTGGCCAGGATATCAGGAGTCATATTCTGAACATGAATATATTCTCCAATTTTTTTAGCTTGTTCTCTAACTTTTTTTTTACATCGATCTTCAAATCCTGTTTGAAAAGGCATCAATCAATCAATCAATCAATCAATCAATCAATCAATCAATCAATCAATCTAAGAAGACTCTTTGGAGTGAATCTTTTTGTTTTTTAGATTCCCCCAAATTCTGCCTATGAGGTGGGGTGGAGAAAATGTATTTTTTCTTGATTTTTTAAACATCCTCAACCCTAGCTTTCCTCTACATCCAGGTCTGCTCTCGGCTCTGACAGAAATGAATCACAGCATTAAAAAGAAATATGCTTTGCTTTTTCAGCCTGCCTCTTGGTTGTGTTGCATTCAGACAATAAAAGGTGGGGGAAATGGTGTCCTTCAAGATGTTGACGATCTACACCTCCCATCACCCTTTTGCCAGGCTGGTAGGGGATGATGGTATTTGGAGTCCAACACCCTCTGGAGGGATATGACAACAGCTGTCCCTCTTCTAGTCTAGCCTTCTGAGACTCGAATCCCGGATCTCGTTAGAACAAACCTAATCATTCCATTTAATCGATAAATCAACCCCGGTGGTTCCTAATAATCTCAAGGCTTATCATTTTTTCTTTTTTCCAGACAGGCATTTGTTTCATAGCTTAGGAAAGAAGTGGTGGGGAGCAGAAATGGAGGGAAAAAAACACTTTTCTTGTGTGTTTCCTGCTTTGTAATTAACGGAGGATTAAAAAAATCACTGCCCAGCCTGGCTGGGTGCACGATGCCTGTGTAGGAATGACAAGACCGAGCCTAACGCCGTCGGGCGTTGGGGCCGGCGTTGACTGACAGCTTGCAAGATCGGTCTGGACAGCCACAGACAGCTCTGGCGCGCCTGGAATGGCCGCGATCCGTTGATGTCGGGCTCGGAAATCTCTAGCAGCCTTTCAGTGCCGACCCGTCCCCTCCCGATCCCAGCTCTCCGGCCGTCCTTTCTCCTTGGTTTTTCATGCTATAGTACTCTTCGCTCCCTTCCTTAGCTTGGAGCAGACCAGGAATTTGCTACGGATGCGGGTATTAGACAGACAAGACTGAATCTACGCTGCCAATTCATCATTTAGGGGGGGTTGTTTGTTTTCTTAAACGCTAGCAAAAGAATACGCATTCGGCTTCTCCGAGAGGGGAACAGAACTTGGTGTTCTGCCACTTGTAAAAGCGTTGCAAATTGTCCTCCTCCTCTTAGAATGGCAGAGCTGGAAGGGATCCTATAGAGCATCCAGTCCAGCCCCTGTCAAGGAAGCAGAGCAGGGAATCGAACACCCAACCTCTGGCCCCACAGCCAGAGACTTCAAGCCCTTTACTATCTAGTGAAGGCTGACTCAAATATTTGAGGGTGGCACGGCTTGAATCCACTTCCGGTTTTAGTTGGAACTTCACCAGAGCCACACACCCCTCCTCAAAGGCTGAACCATATACACCCCAAACACCTTCAGGACCCTGGACAGCTCTTTAATACTCAGCCCTTAATGACATTCGCCATCCTTAGCTGCGTTGAAACCAACGTAAAACGCTGGTCCAGGAATACCACCAATCTGCCTATTACTGTATTTTTCTGTGTATAAGATGCTCCCATGTATAAGACCCCCCCCCAGTTTTCTAATCCAAAATTAAGAAATCTAAGTGGGGCTTAGCACGGGTGGGGGGAAGGGGATCAAAGTGCTGCAGGATCGCTTTGATCCCTGCTTTCCCCTCCACTTGTTTTTGTACTCTCCTCAGCTTACTTCCGTGTATAAGACAACCCTCAATTTTTAGTCTAAAGATTTTAGACAAAAGTATAGTCTTATACGCGGAAAAATACGGTAAATTGAAATAATCTTTGAAGGTCTTTTCCATTGGGTATCCCCCCTCTTTCTGGGATAGGATAGGTGGGAGTTGAGTACTGGGGCTTTTCAGGGGTGCCCCCCCATAACGATCTTCTTTACGGAAATATCCCTCCTAACTTTTCCTGTTTTTGGCACCAATTCTGAACCGTTTTCTTGAGTATTCTGGCGACAACACCCCCACCCCATCCCGCAGTACAAAAAGCTGCAGGTGATTTGCACTGCGCCGTCTGTGGTTTTGGATTATTTTTTCCCAAAATCACGTGGCTTCTGAGCAGAAATTCTTCTGCCCTTGAGCGTAAGCCATTTTCAAAACCTGGCAATATTGAAAGAGACTAAAATTCATGGAAGTGGCCATGAGTGATTCAGAGGAAATGCAAGCCACACAAGACACTTGAAGGTTCATCTCAAAATTAGAACGGGGAGGGAGGGATGATGCTCACCACCCATCCCAGCATCACACCAAGGACGTCAAAATGTGAGAAAGCTTCCTTTTGGGATTTCAACACTCCCAGGTCTTCTAACTAATTTTGGACTTCTCCGTAGAATTAGACAATATGGTGTTAGAAGACAGCTTTACGGCTATCAGGGGCTGCCAGAAAGATAAATATCATGTTCTTGCTTATGTTGAAATTAAAATGATGAAACTGAGGCTCTCTTAGGTTTAGACACAGCACCAGAACTCATTGGGGAAAACAATCATGTTAGGAAAAGCGGAAGGTAGTAGGAGAAGAGGAAGATCAAATGTGAAATGGATTGACTCCATCAAAGAAACCACGATGTTGCGTCTGCAAGGTCTGACACAAGGCTGTTATTGATCGGGCCTGTCGGAAGGCATTCACTCATAGGGCCACAAAAATCCCCAAAGCAACTTGACAGCATGCAATGATAACAACGTGTATGCCTGAGAAGTCAGGGGTCAAAGCCATCATGTAGATGTAGGGAAAGGTTTTCTAATAACAACAAGAGGCCGGCAGGGTAAAAGCTTTAAGATCTGGGAATCTGACCAGTGCCAACGCAGGTCTGCTGGCTTTTGGTCACCAGATACGAGACGGAGCGTCTCATGGCTACGTGAGCAAATAAACCACCAAGACCCGGAGAAGAGTCGGTGCCCGCAAAGCGCTTACAATCTCAAACCGAATGAGGGAAGTAAGGCTGGAAGGAAAGGAAGCGACAGAGGCAGGCAAGCTGGGAAATGAGGCTTCAGGGGGACGCCCAAGGCTGAAAGGAAAAGCAGAGTTATGAATTGGGATTTTAATACATTCCTATGGAGGAATTTCGCTGGACAATGTTTGATCCCTGCTTCACAAACCGATTTTCGCTAGACGATTTGCTTTTCGCTAGACAATGATTTCGCTAGACAGCGATTTCAGTGGAATGGATTATCATCGTCTAGCGAGGCACCACTGTACGAAAGAGAGGGGAGTGGCACCATAAATAAGAGGAATGATGCCCGGGTGTTGGTGGTCTGTCCGTCCTTATTATCCAGGACACTGTTTTACATTTTCACTGATAGGTGGGGGACAAAATAGGAAACGTGGAAGTGAAATGAAAGGTAAAGGGCGAATATGGAATGGAGTCACACAGAAAAAGACATGGCTGGCGAAGGACCTCAAAGTGCCATCTTCATGGCATCCTGGAGGGGCACCCCCCGAATGCCCGCTGGGGGGGCAGGCGGAGGGGGAATAATCTTCACCTTTGGGCCCAGGCCAGATCCTATAGCCATGCCAACTCCTCCCCGTGGGCAGCCGCCACCGAGGAGAAACAGAAAAGGCCGTCAGGGCTGCGAGAGAAGCACTAATTGCGCCGCGCCCAGCAATTAAGGCAACCTGGCAAACGAGTAGAAAGCAGGTGGAGGGTTCGGGTGGCAGAAAGCGGAGCAGGGGGGGGAACCCGCCATCGCGGGGAGTCCATTGTCGAAAGCCAGGAGGAGGGAGCCTGGAAAGCCTTTTGTCGCCTTGAAAACATTTTTCATCTTCAGAGGGAAGGAAGTGTGCAGGGGGAAAAAAAATCGCAGCCATGCGCAACAGCTGCAGAAACACATCTGTGGCCAGTCAGGATGGGATTTCCAGATTTTTCTGGACTACAAACACCATGATTCCGGGAGTTCTAACTATCTTGCTCACGGTTTTAAAGACATCTCAGTTTGGCTCACCTGGGGGCCTAGCTCGGCCTAGCTCGGCCTAAGCTTCCTGTTCAGAGGGAAAGCTCCCAGGTAGCACCAGGGCAGGAACAGGAAGCTTGGACGCAGCTAGGCCGAGTTCAGCCTCAGCGTAGGCCTTTCCCCCCCAGGCGAGCCACATTTCAAGCGCCTTTCCAGGATGGAGAATTACGGGATCTGTAGTCCAGGAACTCCACCCCTAGGGATGAGGCGTTCTGTTCTGGCCCATCCATACGGCACCCACATAATTGGCGACAAGCTAGCTTTCTACCTGAAGGGATTAACAACACCGACGAAGTTAACTCATGGATAATACAGTACAAATATGAATAATCAGAATACAGAAAAGCGCCCCATCCTATTGTAATGGGCACAGCCCAGAAACCGTTGAGGGCAGGACAGATGATGGATCTGTGGGCTCAGCTACAACACCCATCATCCCAGATTTGACATATCTCTGTGATGTATTTTTCCCCCTCCCATATTGGGCTACCGGGCTCGCCTCTCCGGGCCCAATCCAGCTGCAGTTGCAAGAGGGCCCAATCCAGCTGCAGTTGCAAGAGGGCCCAA